ATACAATCGAATTTCGATTTCCACGAATTAAATATAGTGACTAGCCCCACCACATAAGAAATTTACGAGCCGCCACTGCTCGGTATACTGACGATTAATGGAGGGTCTTCCAACCCAGCCGACCATCAAGTCGAAATCTATTCTAACATATCGGACAGAATATACAAAGAACATATCTGTACGAGTAAAATTATGTACCTTATGCCTTGCATTAAATTTAAAATTGGGCTTTGTTAATTTATATGAATTTTCCTAACCCAATATTACAATTCTGGGATAATGAGTTGTTTTTTTTTTGCTTTGACCATCGTCCGGTGTTCTTAAAATTAATATTCCGGAAACAAGATTTGTTTCTATCCTAGGTGACATGGTGGCGGTTATCTATTCTTATGGGTCCATTAGAAAGACCTAACCTCAATCACTGGATCAGTAGGACCAAACAGAGCAGTTGCCTTCCATCCCCTCGCCTGAGGATGGAAACAGATCCAGTTTCCGAAACATTGTGTTCTTCAGAAGCTTTGACGGTAAGTCTTAAATAAAATTTTATCAGCATAAAGGTCTTTAGTTAAACTATGCCCTTCATAACGATGCGTTACTTACTCTCCCCTTATCGAACACCGAGGCATTATAGCCTGTCAGTCACGAGAGCTGAACGCTAACATCTACTCCAATCCACAGCAACTAAAGAAAATATCAATACAGAATACTATAAGTATTACAAAAGTGCCATAAAGCAGAAATATAAAGAAGACTGGGGTGGGAGGATTTAGCATGCCTGTGGTACCATAGACCCTAGATTGATAAAACAGCAGAGGCCGGAAAATTTACTTCATTCAGATGGATATTAGAGGAATAGGGACCGCCTCTGTGGTCTAGCGGTCAGAGTTCCTGGCTACCGATCCAGAGGATCTGGGTTCGATTCCCGGCGCTATCAGATTTTCTGAGAAATAGTGGGTCTGGAATGTGGTCCACTCAACCTCGTGAGGATAATTGAGGAGCTATTTCAAGCAAATAGCGGCTCCGGTCTAGAAAACCGAGATTAACCGCCGTGGGGATTCGTTGCGCTGACCAAGCGACACCCTCTCTCCGCTAAAGTTGGCGCTAACTTCGTCGACAAGCGGCGGTCGCTCGGTCGGTATAGTTCGCTTGGGACTCAAGCCACGGAGTTTGTTTGTTTTTGTTATTAGAAGAATAGGATTGGGTTGTATGGAGTGGATTCATCTGACTAAAGATTGGGAACAGGGACGGGCTCTTGCGAAAAGGGCAGCAAACCTTCGGTTTCCATGGAACGTTGGCTTAAATAGCTGCGGACCTGTTGGACTCTTGAGAAGGACTGGGTTCCATCCTTCTTGAGAAGCTAACAGTCGCTCAGTCACTCCGATTTATAAAGTGCATGGGTTCGAAGCTGTGAATATTGAAAAATTGGGAACAACTGTACAAGCTACATAAAATTATGAATCGACCTGCTGCAAGATAAATAATTTTTGAGATCTCGTTCTACAGTGCCTAAGGCAAAACACAAACAAATGGAGCTGCTGATGACTTACATATATGTTTTCGTGAAAGTCCTAACTTATAATGTAAAAGGCAAATTGTCTCTGTGCTTCATTAACTAAGCACCACCACATAACGGCGTATGGGGAGTGGAGGTTGGCTCCACTAGCTTGACCTCGGCACTAGATGGAGATGAGCTGTCCTCGTTTAAATATTTCGATATTTTTTCACACAAATTATTTAAAATTGATTTAAATTCTTATTATGAAACATTAGAGACACCAAATTACGTTATATGATTTACGAATATTGCATAACTTATAGCCTGCAGGTTCAATACTCTGCAGCTCTTCATCTCTACGGCGTCATCGTATTGGTGGCCGCCGGACTTGAGCGGGTTACAACTGTGTAATGCCTTCAGCTGACATAACCCAAGTTATAATTCAGTATAAGAATCATGAACACAAAATAAAGTCAGAACACTGTTTTATTCAGTTACACTGTCTACAAATTACTTCACAATAATTCAGTTGTTTGGGAATGTTTGTACCTAAGAGGAATGAAACGAAACGAGTTTTGAGAAAATTGCACAGTGTTTTGATTTTCACTCCTCGTCAAATATTGTTAGGGTGCTCAAAGAGAGAAGGGTGATATGGGTGAGGCATGTAACACACATTGCATTCAACGTTTCAGAAGAAAATCACGAATGAAAGAGACAACTTGCAAGACCTAGGAGTAGATGGGAACACAATTTTAAAATAAATCGTAAATAAATAGGATGGTAATATTTGGACTGAATCCATTTGGTCAGGACAGGGACCAGTGGTGAGCTTTTGTGAACATGGCATGAATTTTCGTGTTCCATAAATTATAAATAATTTCTTGATTACCTGAGCAGTTAGTAGCTTCACAAGGACTCTGCCCATGGAGTTTGTTCTAGTCAGATTTCTTTCGTTAGCGAGACAGGGAACTGCGTGACATCTGGACGGATCTCTATCAGCCATATGAGCTTACTGTCTCTCATTCACTTACTCATGGAGGAGCCGACAATTCTGCAGCTACTCAATAGGTTCCCAGCATTTTATGGAACCAGAAGGTTCATTACCGTGTTCACAAGAGCCCTCCACTGGTCCCTATCCTGAGCCAGATCAATCGAATACATACCATCCCCTCTCTCTAAGATCCATTTTAATATTGTCCACCCACCTATGCCTTGGTCTCCCCTGTGGTCTCTTTCCTTGTGGCTTTCCCACAAATATCCTATATGCATTCCTCTTCTCCCAATTCGTACTACATGCCCTGCCAATCTCATCCTCCTTGACTTGATCATTCTAATTATACTTGGAAAATTGCACATGTTATGAAGCTCCTCATTATGCAGTTATATTGTATATATATAT